AGACCCAGCAGAAATCCAGAGAATCATCAATACCTACTTGGAGAACCTGTACTCTAATAAAATGGAAAACACAGAAGAAATGGACACATTCCTAAACACATATGAATTGTCAAAGTTGAATGAAGACAATATAGAAATTCTAAACACCCCAATTACAATGAGTGAAACTGAAAATGTAATAAAAAATTTAGCAACAAAGTAAAGCTGAGGTCCTGATGGCTTCACTGCTAAATTCTACAAGATATTTAAAGAAGAACTATTGCCATTACTCTTTAAACTCATCAAGGAAATTGAAAGGGAAGCAATACTTCTGAATACATTCCTGGAAACAAGTGTTACTTTGAATCCAAAACCAGGGAAAAACCCAACCCAAAAGAGAACTACAGGCCAATCTCCCTAATGAACATAGATGCAAAAATCCTTAATAAAATACTGGCAAATAGAATGCAGAAGATCTTCAAGAAGATCATACACCATGACCAAGTCGGATTTATCCCTGGGATGCAAGGATAGTTCAACATATGTAAATCAATAAATGTAATACACCATATTAACAGAGCCAAGGACAAAAACCATATGATCATCTCAATAGATACAGAAAAAGCATTAAACTAGATCCAACACACATTCATGATAAATACCCTACAGGAAATTGGAATAGAAGGTCTTTATCTCAACCTAATTATGGCTATTATGAAAAACCAATAGCCAACATCACACCAAATAGTCAAAAACTGAAAACTTTCATGCTAAAATCAGAAACAAGACAAGGATGCCCACTGTCACCTCTCCTGTTCAATATAGTTCTGGTAACAATTGCCACAGCAATTAGAAAAGACAAAGAAAGAAAAGGAATAAAGATAGGAAAGGAAGAAGGTACACTGTTAATATTTGCTGACGATATGATACTTTATATAGAAGATCCAAAAAACTCTGCCAAAAGACTTCTAGACTTAATTGACAGATTCAATGGAGTAGCTGGATACAAGGTCAACACTCAAAAATCAATAGCCTTCTTATACTCAAGAGACTCACTGAGAGAGAAATTAGGGAAACAATTACTTATAAAATAGCATCCAAAAAATGAAATATGTAGGAATCAATCTAACAAAGGAAGCAAAAGATCTCTACACTGAAAACTACAGCACTCTGAAAAAAGAGATTGAAGAGGATATAAGAAAATGGAAAGATTTTCCTTGCTCCTGGGTACAAAGAACCAATATGGTGAAAATGGCCATACTTCTAAAACTACTATATAGATTTAATGCAATGACTATTGAAATTCCAGCAATATACTTCACAGAACTACAGAAAACAATCCAATAATTCATTTGGAACCAGAAGAGACCTAGAATAGCATAAGCAATTCTAGGCAACAGAGACATGGCCGGGGGTATCACAATCCCCAACTTGAAAGTATACTACAAACCTACTGTGATAAAAACAGCATGGTACTGGCAAAGAAACAGACCTGAGGAGCAGTGGAATAGATTAGAAGATGCAGAAACAACTCCAGACATACTCAGTCACCTCATCTTTGACAAAGGAGCCAACCACATTGGAGGAAAGATAGCCTATTTAATAAATGGTGTTGGAAAAACTGGATTTCAACCTGCCAAAGATTAAAACTAGACCCATGCCTATCCCCATGCACTAAACTAAAATCAAAGTGGATTAAAGATCTAAATATTAAAACAGAAACACTAAACTTTCTGGAAGATAAGTTAGGTAGAACTCATGAAGACATTGACATAGGAAAAGACTTTATGAACAAAACCTCAGTAGCATGGGAACTAGCACAGAGAATCAACAACTGGGATCTCATCTTATTAGAAAGCTTCTGCATGCAAGAGAAACCACCTACAAAGCTAAGAGACAACCTACAATGTGGGAAAAAAAATTTAGCAGCTGTACCTCAGACAAAGGACTACTATCTAGAATATATAAAAAACTGAAAATAATCACACACTCCCAAACTTAAAGACACAATTCAAAAATGGGGACCTGAAATGAACAGACATTTCTCAAACAAAGAAGTAAAAGCAGCAAATAACCATATGAAAAAATGTTCAACTCCACTGGTCATTTGAGAGATGTAGATGAAAACAATACTGAGATTCCACCTCACCCAAGAAAGAATGGCTGTTATAAAGAAATCAACCAATAACAAATGCTTGTGGGGGTGTGGAGAGAAAGGAACCCTTCTCCATTGTTGGTGGGAGTGCAAACTGGTGCAACCACTGTGGAAATCACTATGGAGATACCTCAAAGAACTAGGGCTAGAGGTCTCATTTGACCCAGCGATTCCCCTCCTGGTTTTCTTCCCAAAATAATTAAAAAGAAACATACCACAGCCATATATGTGCACCCATATTTATAGAGACACAGTTCGTAATAGCTGATGGTTGGAAACAGCCCAAGTGCCCATCAACTGGAAACTGGATAAAGAAGATGTGGGGTTTTTTTATAAAATGGATTACTACTCAGCCATAAAGAATGAGAAACTAGAGACATTAATAGCTAAAAAGATGCATATTCAGGCCATACTCTTAAGTGAAATAAATAGGGCACACATGTAAGTACCAAATAATTTCTCTAGTGTGAGAAACTGAAAGTGTAAATAAGGATTAAAATGATTAAAACAAATAATTGATAATTTGAAATAGGAAGTAAAGTTCCAAAGAGGTAAGGGAAGTGGGAGGGGAAGGGGAAAGGAAAGAAGGGAAAGGAAAAATTATGAGAATAGCAAAAAAGGGAAACAAAGTCTATGTAAATAGGGAAGGGTGGAAGGGGTGAAGGGCACACAGGTAATGGGGAAAAAATAAGAACCAAGATACATAATATCCAGATACAAGCACCCAATGATAAATGTAAACATATTGTATACCTAAAATGTACCAATAAACAAATTTAAGCAAAAAAAAAAAAAAAGTGTATTTGTAGAGCTGGACATGGTGGCTCATGTGCATAATTTCAGCACTCTTGGAGCCTGAGGCAGGAATGCTACAACTTTGATCTCAGTGTGGCCAAATTAGTGATTTAACCAGATTTTGTCTCAAAAAAAATTAAAAATGATTAAGTGTGTACCTGAGTGTGTAGCTCATAGCTCAGTGCAAATGTCCTGGATTGTGTCCTTAGTGGGGAGGAAGAGAAAGAGAATTTTCAAAGCATAAGAAAAATAATTAAAAGGTGTTGTCCTTTGACCAATTCTATCTTCTGTAAACCTGGGTACAATCAGCAAAACTAATAAATGAAACTCAGAGTTACACATAGAATTATGCCCATAAATATACAAATATTGTATATGACCAATTCCAGCAAGTTGGAAAATACACATATCATACTGTTCAGACTCGGTGATTCTGAATCAAAGATGTGCATCAGAATACCTGAAAAGTGAAAAAAAAAAATAGATGTCCAGGTCCTATCTGAGATCCAAGAAAATTTTACTTCCATTGTACAGAACAGTGACCTGAGCACTGGGATTTTGAGTAATCAGTCCAAGGAATTTTTCTACATGTTTACCCAATAGTAATGTAGCCTCTTTAGTATCTCTGTGGTCTATCTTTTTCCCTCTCCATTTAACCTATTTCTTTATGTTTATAATGTATTTTCACCCAGAGTGTGCTTTGTAAGTCATGATTAATGATACCACCATCCTCAAAAAAAAAAGACACAAAGTTTTATTCCACACATTCTCATGGTCTTTGGTGTGCAGGGTGCAAGTCTCTCAAGCAGGCCCCACATGGCTTAAGAGAGCAAGGAAAGACATTGGCTAGGAGTGTTAATGTGGTTAGGGAGGGGACAGAGTGCGATTTGTGAGGTTTGCAGCTTCCTCTGGCACCAGAGCTGGAGGTACCAAGACTTTCTTATCAGCTTCTCCAGACAGGGTGAGGAGGAGACAGGGAGAATGTTGAGGTTGAAAGCTTTCAGCAGACAAATATCAAGAACTTGAATCAGACCACTCACAAAGAGAACATTATAGGAGTTTGTCTTTTAAATCCAACCTAATAATCTTTTTGTTGACTAGTTTAATAATTTTTTATCAGCAAACGCACTTTTCTTGATATGTTGCTTGTTTGTTTTTTGCTCTTTGCTGGCTTTCACATTGAAGTGTTTTATTTTTTATGACTCCATTTTATGTCCCATATTTGGCTACTATACTTTCCTTTTAAAAAAAAACTTTAGTGATCGTCCTGTGTGTGCAATGCCTATCCTTGAATGATCACAATCAAACAAAATGCTATCAGTTAAATGAATTTCAAGGCCTTCCTTGCAACATTCTACTTTGAACTATTATCTTCCCTATTTTTTTGTAGTTTTGGTCCTTATGGATTTTCCTAACACTTTTACATGGCACGAGGAGGTTTTAGTTACTTGGCTCCAGGCATCTACTGGTTTCTGCTGAGGAATGTTTTCTGTAGTCCTGGTCTTGTCCCAAACAGGAGGAGCCTGTTTCCTACAGCCTATGAGGTTGTCTTTCTCAGTGAACCTGCCCCTCTCCAGCAGTCAAAGATATCTAAGGATCTTGATTTAGAAATCACTTGCAACAAACTGGAAGAGATAGAGTTTTCAAATTTTTCACTTTCCACTTCCTCAACAGTTCCTCACCAGTGCCCTGAGGAAGTAAACGTTTCTTCCTCTTTCCCCATTGGTTTTAGTAGTCTGTTTCAGAGTAGAAAAGGGACTGAGAATAACTCTGCCTGCATACTGGAGACAGATTCTCTCTCATCTTATCACCTGACCCCAATCTTTCTCATGAGCAACTGACACACATCCATGGAGAAGAGTGTGTGATGAGTGTAAACTTCCCAATAGAACTGTGGTTCTCAAGGATTTCATACTTCGATTCTAGTCTACACTTGGTCTTTAGCACTTTTATAAACTTTTTCAAGGAATTCTCACACATATGATTACATCAAGCCCTTGTAAGAGGAAGTCATCCTTATCTCTCTGATAAGTGTGATTGATTCATCTCCAAGTCATGACAAAGACACCCATTGTTTTGCCCAAAAGAACATTTATCTCCAATTTGGAAGTAGGGTGCAAAATGACCCATCCCTGGACTCTGCCCAACACCAACAAACAATTCTTCAGCCTCTACAATAAGATGCCTCTAGGGCCTACAAACAGAATCTACAAATACAACTGTGTTGATTGCTCCAGGCTCCTGAAGCTGGCAGGGACTCCCATTCAGAGCTCAGTGTGTTCTTTTTGTGGTGGCTTCTCCACTGCCTCCCTGGCTAGAAGCTGGGTCCAGAAGGTCACTTCTTTGTCTTTCAGTCTCTGGGCAGGCTGGGTGTTGACACCAATCTGCAGGTATTCTTCCTTATGGTCATACTCTGGCCAGTGAGGCAGCCCCTCTCCATTGGGATTCCTGGGAACAGAGTCAATGAGAAATTGTCCAAAGAGTTTGGTAAACCCTATATGTTTTTAAAGATTTTCAAGTATTCTCAGACTTATTTCTACAAAGAGCCCCATGAAACTCCAGAAACAGGGACAGCCCCATCTCCTGGGACAGCATGTACATTTACAGTGAGCTGTCATTGTCAGAGTACTATGGTCAGGCTCTCAGGTTTGATCACTCAAGTTGCAGAAGACACTCCATCCCCATAGGTATTCCCAAGCACACACCACCACCAATTCTTTTGCATTTTTGCCAATAGCCTCACCCATTCCGAGCAAAGTTGGCCCAGAATTGCATCACCATCTTGCTGAGGTTTATTTCCTCTTCTGAGGCACCCTCTGTGCAGAAGAAGGAAAAAATAAACCCTTCAATATTCAAAGTGAGGTTGATGGACTACCAGCAGTAGCTGCACTGGGGATTTGTAAGAAATGCATACTTGTGGCCTTTTTTTCTACACTTACAGAGTCAAAATCTGCATTGAATGAGGATCCTGGCTAATTTGTGTGTACTTTACATTTGAGAATCATGTATACAGGACTCAGCCATGGACATGAAGTCCATCCATATTCTGGCTGCCTTTTTCTTCTATTTCCACCACTAGCAGGATTAAGTGCTGGACCCAAGCATTTCCTCTGCCTCATAGAATTGCTGGATATTGTATCCCTTTTTATTCTCCTCCTGCACATTTCCACATTTTCATAGATGCTGAAAATGTCATCTCTGTAGGAGCCCTAAGGAATAAAAAGTGAGAGGTGCCCAGAGGCACATGAGTATCATGAGGAACCATGAGGTGGGGCATAAGTCAAAGGTATTGAGTGTGAACACATTCATGAAAAGATTTCATTACATATTATATTATTTAATATAATATTGGTAAAGACAGATGAGTTTTAAATCTATGGAATGATAGACATGAATACATGTGATATTTTATTCAAGTTTAGCACTAATTTTAGTCATCTCCTCATTCACATTATAATAGGTTCTATGGAGTGGCAAGTCAACCAGTGGCTTTCTTGCCCTCAGGAAGGGCCCTGAAGATCACCTACTTTCTCTCCTTTTCATGGCACAGGCCAGAAGGGTGAGATTGACTATGGCTGGGGCACATGAATACATCTTCCTTCTTGCATGTTAGAATAGGAGAAAGGCTGTGTTCTGCCCAGCATAGCTCAGCCCTGTGACATGAAATCTACTGTCTAAGAGTAGGGGAAAAGGAGAAACTTGCTCAATACCATCAAACCAAGAATGGAACCCAGGACTCCTAACTCTAGGCTCATAGCCAGCAAAGAGCCTTTACCTTTTAAAAATGGAACCCCAAACACTGAGAAGATCTCATCCCCATGGTCTCCTTTCACCGCCTTGGGTTTCAAGTCTGATGAGAAGCTTGGGTGATACTGGAACTCATACATGTAGGTGGGGGCTCTGGCATCTGAGAAGACATGGATGATGTTCAATTTACAGTACCACATACACAGTTGGATAGTTCAAGGTCTCTGGTTATGTAGGAAACCCCTGCTTATCAGCAAAGGACAGAAAGAGAGTTTCAAGAAAGTTCTTTGATGAGTTTAAGGCTATACAGATGGTTCAGGGAGAACTTGGATTTGAGTCAAATGTTTATTGGGTGAAAGAATGAATGAGTGCATTGCATCCAAAAAACACACTAGATCTGTTTCAGTGTTAACTTATTAGTGCTCACTCATGCCAAGAATAATAGTAAGTGTCTTCTCTACATAGTAAGTGTTCACAGCCTGGTAATTGTATTCTTCATCTTACTTTCAAGTATATTCAGAGTTTCTCTCATCCTTTCTGAGAAGAGTGAAGCAAATCAAGCTGTTTTTCTGAAAAATGAGGATCCTTAATACAAATATATGCAGACATGGAAAATCCGTTTCTTGTGTTGTAGGAAACCACAAAACTCAGAGTGACACATTTCAAGCACTTCACATGTCCTGTTTTCTTCCTGGGCCAAGAAGTGTTAAGGTATTTATGGTGATAATGTGATGGCAAGAAGAGAGAGCTTGGCTCTCCCTCTTGCCTTGTCCTTTCCATGCTTTCTTAGCACCAAAGCAAAGATCCCCAAGTTCCAGCATGCTTTATTTTCTGCTGGCTGGATCATGAGCCCCCCAATTCCTGCTCCTTTAGGCCTTACTAATGGACCCCAAGTCCATGGAGCTCAGCAGGCGGCACCAACCATATTGTCCGTAAAGAAGTGAGACCAAGACAAGGAAGTCAAGCCCCAATCAGCCAAGTGAAGAAATTTTTCTTTCTTCCTGTGAATACCATATGAATAATAAAAATGCAGAAAAAAGTTATAAAAGTAAGAACAATTTGCTGAACCTTGTATCCATCACTCAATCATTTTAGAAAGGAACTCAGAATCCAATCATAAAGGAAAAAATTGTGGTGAATGAGAGATCTTATTTTAGGCAGCATGATACCCCAAATCCTTTTTTTTTTAATCTTTCAGTTTAAAATCATGTAGATTTATAAAATTTCTATAATCACAATACAAGTCTTCAAAGGTAAGCAGAGACTTTTACAACTGACATTACAGAAAAAACAGTCATGAAACTACTAAAATCATATGCACACAAACTTGATAACCTAGAATAAATGAATAAAATCCTAGTGCAATACAGCCTTCCAAGACTGAATCAAAGAGGTATCGATAATCTGAATTGATCAATAATAAGTAAAGATTGCATTAGTGACAAAATTCTCCCATCAAAGAATAGCCCTGGAAGGAACTGATGGCTTTGACTATGTATTATACCAAATATTAAAAGAAAAACTAATGCCAGTACTTCTCAATTTTTTCCAAAAAAAACAATGAAGATGGATATTTGAACATTGTCCTTATGTTAGTGTTACACTGTTACTAAAATAAGGCAAATCTATTACAAGAAAAGAAAATTACAGGCCAATATCCTTCCTGCACATAGATGTAAAAATCCTCCAGAGAATTCCAGCAAATTGAATTCAACAACAACAAAAAAAGAATAATCCACCACAATCAAATATTACTTAACCCTGATATACAAAAATTGTGACACATATTGATACAAACTGAGGGACACAAACTATGATCATTCCATTATATGCAGAAAAATAATTTGAAAAGATTAATACCTTTCATTATAAAACTTTTCACCAAATTACAGACAGAGAATGTAACTCAACATTATTTAAGAAGCCCACTGCTCAAATTATTCTCAAACCTGAAAGCTTGAAAACATTTCCTTTCAAATCTAGATCAAGACTATGGTGCTTTTTGTTTTGTTTTATTTTGTTTTGGGGTGTTTTTTTGCTTAAATATTTTTATTGGTGCAGGAAAGGAAAGAAGGAGAAGAATGGTGATTTTTTTTAACCCCTTCTATATTCCAAGACTTTGTCAAAGCACTTGGACAAGAGAAAGAAACAATAGGTATCCAAAGAGTATATGTAGATTTGAAGCTGCCACAGTTTGCTGATGACATGACAATATAGCTACAAAACCTTAAAAACTTCACCAATATCAGTTAGAACAAACAAATGAATACCATACACAAAATGAATATCCAAAAGTCACTAGCATTTTTATATACTATGAATGAACTATCCAAAAACAAAATCAAGAGAACAACCCCATTTACACTAGCTACAAAAATAAACAATAATTAGAAATAAGATTAACCTTGGTAGCATAATACTCAAAGACTGAAAACCATAAAATTTTAATGAAAGAAACTGAAGAACACACAAATGTTGGAAAAACATGCCATGTCCATGAATAGAAAGAGTGAATATTGTTAAAATGATCACACTATCCAAAACAACCTACTAGTTAAATGAAATCCTTATCTGAATTCTAGTATGTTTCTTCAAGAAAATACAAAACAATCCTCAAAATCATATGAAACCACAAAAAAACCCCAACTCACCAAGGCAACCATGAGCATAAAGAATAAATCTGGAGTGGCTAAAATTGAGACACAGGTCATGCTTCCATCACAGTAAACATATTACAGTGGTGACAATGAGACCTGTAACATTTTCTCAAGAATAATGAAGAATGTTGACTTTCAATATTAGAAATGAATGATTAAGGAATAATACAGAATCTAGACCATGTGCCACAACACCAATACTATGTACAATTCAAATTCTAGGCTCCCAAAGTGCTGGAAGGAATTTGGATATAAGATAAGATCCCAGGAGTTTTGAAGTTGTCACTGTCCATAATTCCCAGTGGAGTTAAAAGAATTTTGGGCAGATAAGATGACTGGATTAAGCATCATTTCTTTGAAAAACGGCTATTTTGAAGACAAATAACTTCATTAAAGTGACCTTCAGTACTGAAGGAATCACATGTGACATTTCTTAAATAAAAATGTATTTAATTTTAAAAAAATAAATCTGGAGATATCATATTACCTGATTTCCAAACAAACATTAAAAATTTATGGTAATTAAAATAGTATGGTGCAGTTTATACACATACATACACAGATGCACAGAGACACACTGACACACTTGTACACACACACACACACGCACTATCCAATGGATAGTATACAGATATGAGAAATAAATCCAGACATATATGTGTAACTGGTTTTTGACAAATAGGCCAAGAACGTGCAATAAGAAAAATTATCTTTAATAAATGGTTCTGGGAAAACTTCATTTCCACACACATATGGGTGAAATTGGATTCTCCTCTGATACCATATAAAAATCAAATAAAAATGAATTAAAGAAACTACTACTAGAAACTCAAAAACTACTAGAAAAATATAGGTGAAATGTATATGACAAGGGTCTGGTCAAATGGCATTTTGGATTAACTCCAAAAGCATAAGCAACACAACTAGAAAATATGGGATTACCTCAAACTAAAACCTTCAACTCAGGAAGAAAATCAATTGAAAAGGCATAAAGAAACACTATAGATTAAGGCAAAATAATTGAAACCAAGCATATAGTGAGTATTTATTAAGCAAAATATATAGAGTTCAAACTTCTCAATTGCAAAGAAAAAATTCAATTAATAATTAAGCAAAAGATCTGAATTGGTATTTCTCAAATGTATTTTTAATGTTCAGCATTGCTAGGTAATTAGGAAAACCCAAGTTAAATCAAAATATCATCTCACTCTCATCGGAATGGCTCATATCAAAAAACAAAGAAAGAAAAGAAAAATAGCAAGTGTTGGCAAGATGGTGGAGAAAGGGGACATTTTTAAACTGTTATGTAAATGTAAAAAAAAAACTGGAGGTTCCTCAAAAAAGTAAAACTAGAATTCCTATAGGATCCAGCAATCCCACTGCTGGGTATCTCCTCAAAGTATTTGAAAGGAGTTTGCTGAAGAGATACCTGTATCCCCATGTTTACTGCAGCACTATTCATAGTGGATAGATTATGAAATCTACCTGGTGTCTGTCAACAGAAGAATAGGCAATGACAAAGTCGTGTTATATACACGAAGGAATACTATTTAGACTTAGAAAGAGAAGCAATTCTGTCTTTTGTGGAAAAATGTATGAAATTGGAGAATATTATAAGTGAGATAAGTCAGGCAAAGAAGGACAAATTATCACATATTACTACTAATATGTGATTCTAAGAAAAAACTGAAAAACAGAAAAATGAGATGATATAGGTTAGTATGAGAGGAAAAAAGAGATGGTGAAATGGTACAAAACCTCAGATAAATTTTTTTCCTTTTTTTTCTACTTCTTTATTTCTAATGCCCAGTGTGGTAAATATAGTTAATAGTAGAGTAGTGTGCAATTAAACTTATAGCATAAATTTGTCTTCTCATTATAATAAATGTTCAGTTGTTAAGGAGATGCATGTGTTCATCAACTAGATGTAATTATTCCAATTTGTATTCATCAGTCATAATGCAATCATAATTATTGTAGTTTGTATTTACAAATTTTAAATTTGTACCTTATAAACTAATAAATATATAATTTCCCAATTGAAAATCAAAAAAATATATGAATTCATTCCCTTCCTCCTTCTCCCTCCCTTCATCCCTTGCTTCCCCCACCCTTCTTCTCCCCCCCCTTTCTGTCTCAAAATACTGTATTTTATTCACCCAGTGACCTGAAGTGGTTTGCAAGGAATTGCAACTTCACAAAATGATAGGGTGGATGGGGAATATAAGGATTAATTTTTATACTATTTATTAAGTTCTGAATTTAAGAATATAAGAACCCTTCTAGAATATTAGGGAGAGGAATCTGGAATCAAGAGACATTTACAAGTCTGAGACTTGATCCATGAGACCCGGTAACAGAAGAAGAGTTCTGGGAGGCTCCAAAATGGAACCCAGAAGGAGGCAACTTCCATCTAGATGAGCTCACCTATCCCTAAACTCACTCTCCATCCACACAGAGTTGGGTCAGTGTCAGAAGGTCAGTGTAAGAATGATAGACCCCATTCTGGCCCTCATCTTGCCACACTGGCACACACCAAGACAGAAAAAATCCCACACAGGTATTGAAAATGACCACATCTGCCCTCATCCTAAACCATCTACTTCCCTCTGCATTTGGTGTTCTGTCTCATTCTATACTTGACTCCTACTCTTCCCCTAGACCCACTACTTATCCTATCTTAAATCTACTTCTTACTTTGAAAATATTCCAATACCCATTCTCCAGTATTTGCATTCTGCTCCTACAATCACCATCACCACAGGGAAAGAGCCACTGTTGGAATTTCTGCTGGTGCCTCATTCCTAAGTTCTGATTCTGGACAGCCAATTTTGTTTCCATCTCCAGCATCTGTGACTCATTATCTCAGGCTTTTGTCTGCCCACTATAAATTACTTTGCCCATGTTTGTGAGAAATCAAACTATCATAAAATAAACAATCAGTTGGAGTGGCCTTCAATCAGGACATATGGATACTGGTGGAAAAATGGCCAGTTCCTTGCTCTGCAGACAGGACAACCCTGATGTGTGTCTTCTGTTTGTTTCCCATAGCTCTCTAGCTCTGGTTTTGCACAATAAACACATGCTAAGCTTTGCATCATTTAGGCTTCCATCTGTTGCTCATGTCATTTCCTTATCACTCCTTACTGGTGCTTCCTGGTATATTTCCCCAAATTAACAACTTGTGTTTGGATCCTTTTCTCAGTGTTAGCTCCTGGCAATAGCAAAATAGGACAGAGACCCTCCCCAGACCATAAAAAATCAGGCTTTGAGTCCTGACCCTCAATATTTTCCATATCTGTCTAGATGAGAGGTGGGCAGGTCAGTCACCAAAGCTGCTGTGTCAGAGTCTCTCTCCCACTGGGCTTCCATGACTCACCTCTGTGGCCACGGGCCACAATCACAGATGGAACACCAAACAGCAAATCTGTCAATAAGTCCAGGAACAGCTCCCGCTTTTTGACAGGGTCATCTGTCCCTCCTAAATACCTCTCAGTGGCCTCTGATGTCAGTTCCTCTGGAACATTCTGAAATTGATCAAGAAAGTGACAACCCCCAACTGGTGAGTAATGTGGATTCTCCACCCAGTTAATTGGGCTTAATTCATTGGGTAACTCTTGAGCTCTGTGCAAATCCTCCTAGGGTAGTAAAGCGGGAAAGGCAGAAAAATTGGCCAAACCCCAGATTCCAGTTCTTTGTCTGCCATTGAATTGGTCTGTAATTTTGGGCAAGCCCCCAGCCCTTCTTTATTATTCTGCTAATACTCATGATTCCCTGCTCGCTTACAAGAAAGGGAGAGAACCTCCGCAAGAGTGATGTTGCTGTCTTCTGGTCCAGCTTGTCTTCAGGGATTGGATTACCCCACAGCTGTTAATACAATGATTAAGCATTTGTGAGTTATCATGAATTAACAGGAAACCAACCAAACCAATGTAAAATGAAGGTCCTGTGATGGGACCTGCTAGGTCTAGGTCTTTCATGACTTTGAAAATATCAATGAAACAAATGGACACATTCAGAAACTCAAAGACGAGATAGATATAGAGATAAGAATACACATATAGCTAAGGATATCAATAGATCTGAATATATAGATAGATCTGGATAGATAAAAAGAGAGATAGATGGATAGATAGATAGATAGATCTGGTTATGGATGTGAAATTAAAATGGTAAGGCAGGATCATTTAGGATTAAGGCCAAGGTATAGTTGAAGCAGAAGGCTCAGGTACAGACAATACTGACCATATACCACAGATTCAGATCACTGAGAACTAAATTATCATTATGACTTTGGTCCTTTGGGACAACCACTGAGATATTCTAAAGTGAGAACTGCAGAACTCTCAGCAAGTGACACTTCTGTCCAAATCTACACTAAGAGATTTGACACAAGTGCAACCCGGCTTCATGCAATTTAAGGTCATATCCTAGCATGAAACCAGACATTAAAATTCCTACTTGAGAAAGCTCAATACTGCCAGAAGAATACCTGGTCATATGCAAAGATTATGAATCTTTCTGTAGAGCAGCTACCCTAGAAAACAGATGATTAATAATTCTTCTCAGCTTTTTGAAATGTAAATCTTTCCTCAAGGCTCAGAGGGCTCATTTTTCCTGGAAAAGTATTGAACTTCATTGATATATAAACATATGGGAAGACAACTCTTGATGTCCCTGACAGTCTCCATGGGAAGACCAAGTCTAACTTCAGTGGCAGCCTCACTTCAACCTACACCTCTGCTGCTTCCTGTCATGAAACCTACACCTCTGCTTCCTGTCATGAAGCTATGTCAGTTTCTCTAGCAGGAGAGCATGGGTAAACAAGTCCAGTGCCATGGCTATGTGTCCTCATCCCTTACATCCAGGAGGCCTTCCTGAGCTCACCTAGCCTTGTACATCTCCAGCCTTTGGTGTTAAAGGTTTAAGTTCATGTCATGCTTGATCTTTTTACTATTGTGATCAAATTACTCAATAAAATGTGTCCTAATATTTTAAATAGGGATTTGCTTTGTTTATCTTTGAGAGAAGAAAAGGTCTTATTTCCTTTTAGAAGATGAACTTATCTCAAGCGTAATATTTCCATTGAGAAATATTCTCTGAATCTTTCCTATGAGATGCCTGAAAACACAAATGGAGATCTATGGGAGCTAGGAGTCTAAGCTCAAGGAGTTATCTGTGGCACCCCAGCCTGTGTCACCTGGATTCCTCCAGCTTCCTCGGACTCCCCTGAACTACCCAGGTGACAAATGTGCCATCCCAGGGAAGTTTTCCAAGGAATCTCCACTGGTGCCAAGGTGGACAACTATCCTGAACTCTGTGGTGTCGTGAAGAAGAATGATCTCCTGGGAACAGAAGTCAGGAGGATGATGATTGAATGTGTGTGGGGATGCATCTATCGAAGAAGTCTGGACCTCCTCACCACTGGAATGATCCAGCCAAACTCTTGCTTGGTGATTCCAACCATATAGGGGACAGTGTTGAAATTCTTTTCAGCCAGAATCTCTTCAGGTCTTTTAAGCAGCAGCACTCCATCTATCACAGTAGACACAAAGGGGTAGTGCTAGGGAAGAGAACAGCATAATGTTTGTGATTACTCTGTCCTTTCATATGTCTCTCTATCCCATTGCCAATATTAAAGTGTGGCTAGCACAATAGATCTCTGAGAGTAGGCACTGGCCACAGAAACACAGGGCCCTAAAATCAAGGCTGTATCAATGGCAGAAATTTGGGAAGCTAGTGGTGGTGAGGTGATGCTGGAAGGAAAAGAAGAGGGGAAAATTCACACAAATTAAAATATAATTCATAAATTAAAATATATATCACTACAATATACATGAGTTGATTATGGCGATTTATAAGTTGTGAATGTAAAATCACAATGAATTAGTAATCAAATACTGAGTAATTGCTCCAAAAGGAATTCCATGGGGGCATCTCATCACATTTTCATTACTCTTGTTTACAGGTAGGCACTTATTTAAAGAGATGTTATATAATACAAACTTATTACAAACTTATTAGTTACATATAAAATGTATTTCCAACAGGCTATGGGTACAACTATTGCTATTGTGTGCAAACTGTGCAGCTCAGAGAAGGCTGCCCTGGGAACCAGCAAGAAGAGCACCTTATGTGAAGGAAGATACTTACAGGCTCTAAGACCAGGTGCTTGCCATACATAGTGGGATCTGGGGATGAAGACCATTGCTACATAAAGAAAAGTGAGGAATTTTCCAAAAGTGGGAAAAACATGAGACAGAGATGTCACCATGCATGGTTAAACTCATCACAGTCCAGGAGCACTGGATTTGGAGAAATGCCTGGGGCCAGGCACAAGTAAAATGTTCAGCTGGTGGAGTATGACTTTTGCATAATATCCAGCACATCCTTGACCCTTAGGTATGTTTTCAAGTCTAAGTCAGCGGACCAAGGGCACTTTCTCTTGTAAGTAAGGCAGACTTTTAAGAAGGAAAATGACATGTTCTAACTAAGTTTATAAGGGCAAGTCTGATGACATCATGGACCATGGAAATGTGGAGAAAAAGAAAAGGTAGAAAATAGAAAAAGTGCAGAATACAAGTAGTGAACCTACTGGTAGGAAAGCACCCATGGGAGAACACCAATATCAGCAACTGTGGAATGAAAGTAATGCCCACTGTCTATTCAGGGAACACTGGTGGTTGTCCTAGGAGGCCATTTTCATCATCTTGGTTGGGACATAAAATTAAGGAGCTTCCTCCCCCTCTCTTCCTCACACCCTAGATCCTGCTCATCAGCAAATCTTGTCAGCTCTTCCTTCAAAAACATCAAGATATCTTGTCTCTACATCATTGCTGCAGCCCTGGTATAATTCATCAGGACTCCTTGCCTGGCCTGCTGCAGTGCATTGTCCTCCCAGATGGTCTCTCTCCACCTGCCTGGCTTCTTCCCACTATCTAGTCCACACTTCACTCAGAGACCTTTGTAAGACTTAGTATGCATCACTACTTTATTCAGAGCCCTTGGACACCACCTGACCACCTCATGGTGAGTCACAATCCAAGTCCTCCAACCATGACCTCTTCAGCTTCCAGCTTGCACCTTCCCTCACTACCTCCCCCTCAAACACATTGGCTTCCTCCATTGGGGATTTTGCAGCTGCTGTTTCTTCTGCCTAAAATACTTTTCCTTTAGGCTTCCTGAGAACTGGCTCCTTCTCTCCTACACAGGTGGACTCAGATGTCACCTGTACTTACAGTTTAGATGGAAAATGGCCCCTAAAAGTCTCATGTTTTTAGGCGGGACCTGGTCGAGTTGGAAGGGACTGCTCACTGAGGGCATTACTTGGAAGGGTGTATTTTCATCCAGGCTTCTGTCTTCTCTCTCTGCTTCTAGGCCACCATGTAGTGAAGAGCTGTCCTCTGCCAGGCCTTTCCACCAGGACATTTCTGCTTTGGAGCCAAATGACCATGGACTGAGCCCACAGAAAGGGACCAAAATTAAACCTCTCCTTTTGTAGGTTATGCTGTAGGGTACTTTGTCCCAGTGACAGGAAAGCTGACTGATACACCTACTGATCAGTCCATTACCACACATCACTGTTCAATTCCAATCCCAGTGCACATTTACCTTTTCACCTTTATTCTGACCACCATTGCACACAGAGAATAGTTTACTTATTTGAGTTTCTCTTGCACTCTGCTCAGTGGGATGGAAGCTCTAAGAAGGCAGTAAATATTCTCCATCACTTCTATAGCTCAAATACTCAGGCCATGCCATTTAAAATGTCCTCTTACATCTTTGCTAATACTTGAGTAGATGCAATTTTATCTTCACAAGACCTTTAAGTGGAAGTGTACCAATCTCCAAGAAGGAGCAGAGAGGATAAGACTGTAAGATGCTGCACAGCTGTCACCAGATCCTGATAATGTGACAGGCAATGACAGGAAAGAAGGAGATGGGAAGAATCTCTGGGTTTCCTGAGTGCTGGGAGGCTCCTTCTTTGAATAAGAAATCAGCCCTGTGGGTTCCTAGGAGACCTGTCCTCCTCAATCAAGGATCCTGAGCCCTTTGTCTCTATTCCCAACCTCTTGCCAGTAGAAGATTCTGGTAAAGCTTCTTTCCACAGGGCTTTTTTAATGTAGGAAATGTGAATGGAAAAAAAGGAAGGTAGCTGAGTTCAGAGTATACAGATTTGCTGACTGGAAGCCCGCACTGAGAATCAGGGTAGTGCATTCCAGCCCTTTCTCTTATCCTCCTGGCTGTGTTAGCCTGGTAAGTCACTCAGCTTCAGCACTATGCACACAAGAAGAATCTATAATTCCACAAAGGAGAATGCTTTCATTACTAGTGAATTGGAGCTGAAAGGTGTAAAAACTCAAAACGAATAATCAAGAAACCAAAGGCCCTTACCTCTTTGGGGTCTCCAAGTAAGTCAATGCTAAGAAGTTTCTGTGAAAACAAAGGAAGAAAATGTGAGAGTTAAAGCTCATCCTTTGATCTGCAGCCCAGAGTCATTGTTTTTCCTCCTTCTTCCTCTTTGGCTGGGACCAGAAAACAAGGATGATATAAAGGTTTTGTTGGGTATGAGCACAGGATGGCAGAGTACAACGAGGATGGGCAGGCACCAACAAGGGAGGATCAATCTAGGAAACCCAAGGTCAAGATCACTGGAGCTCTTGAGAGGATGACTGCTGTTGATACTTGCTCTCCTCCTTATCCCTTCCCCTACTTCTTCACCCTGGCAACGTTACTGCAATTTTCCTTTTGGAGAAAAACGCAAGAGTTGACTGTGGTGGCAGGAAGGTTACAGTTTCAATATTTGATGGGATTAGAGGTGAAAAGGAGTGGCCAGAGATAGCATTCCCATCATACCTCGGCTCCTGTTTCCCTCTTCTCTCTCCCACTTTGTTATTTCAGGTGTCTATATGTGACCCGGGGTCCCCACGTCCCCAAACTTAGATCTCTTAATGCAATGATGGAGGCTTGCCAGGTTCAGTCCAATAGAGTATACACCAAAATGAATGCTGTAATTTTAGGGTAGGTGATTTCTAAACCTATATATGTCCAGAGTGTTGTTGCCTTTTTACTTAACCAAGGGATAAATGTACTTCAGAGAGAGACCAGCAGAGAAGAGTTTTGGCTGAGTCATAAAGACAGGTAAATTGTCAATAATATCTTCAGAGCTCATGGATCCAGCCAAGATTGTTTTTGCATCAAAATCCATTTCTCTTTCAGTCACTCTGAAATTAGTTTTCTCATTTTGCTTTAGGAAACTCTGACTCATACAAACTTAATGAAGCTCATACCAACTTATGCTTTTCTTATGCTTTTCTCATACCAACTTACGTTGTGTGTTCACTAAAATTGTAGGGTTTCGTGGGGACTGGAATTGTCCACATTTGCTAAAATATTTGACCCAGATATGTGGACAGCAACCACTGGAAATGTCTCCATTATGAGTGGTAGCCCCCACAAGCCAAGTGCGTGTGTGTGTGTGTGTGTGTGTGTGTGTGTGCGCGTGCGTGTGTACATACTGAGGGTAATGGTAATCACAGAAGTACTTCCACAAAGCTCTGAAAGATGTCCTAGAATCACAGGTTCTCTGGATTTTCCCACTCACTAAGTATCCCTGAATAATCTGGGTTCTCTTGTGCCTGAATGACTGAAATATTTTCCTCTCTCGAAATATTAGAAAAACAGCTGAGTCTTAATTCTTGGAATATCTTGGTTGACTTGGTTTGACCTGATGAACTGGGACACAAACCCAAGGGCCACATTAGTGTCTATTCATGTACTCATCTGCAAAACACAGCACTAGAGGCTTGCCCTGGACTTACAGACATTTCTTCTTGTGTTGAGATCCAAATAGAGAATTGAGAAGCTCAGGTAACTCCTGAGCTCACAATTTTCTCCACAAAGGGAGTGGTTTTCATGGGTCTTGGGTGCTGTTCTCCTTGGATGTTTGTCCTGCTGAACATCCCTGAGATAATAGAAGGGCCATAGCCATCCATGAATGCACAAATGTCACTTTCCCTGAGAAGCACCCTTGCTGGCTATTATGGATATGTCTGCTCCCTGTACTCCCACTACACATAACCCACTAAGTATATGTTTTGTTTCTCATTAAATAGTTCTTTGTGAGATGGGACTACGGCCAATGTATGTATAGATCACCTCTCCTGATAGCACCCTCCCTTACACTTAGCATGGAGAAATGGATTGTATGGGTTGCTCAGTGCAACTACAACTGTATGAATACATGGATAAACAGATGCCAACTAGCAAATAAGTGATGGATGTGTGAGCGCTTTTGAGTACTGGGTGAAGGAGTGTGGACATATGCTGGTTGCTACCTCATTGGGATGAACAGATTGAAATAGTCAAATGAAAAGTTATGGACAGATAGGTACTAGATTGAAGAAATTATTAATGAATTACTTGGACAGAAGAATGGGTAGATGAATGAATGGATGGATGATAGATGAATGATGAATAGATACCGGCTATCCTAATTGAGTCAGAGTTACCAACAAAGCTCATAAACTAGGCCACTGCTGTGTTATAATTTGTATAGATTCTAAATCCACCAAGATTAACTGTTACACTTTTCTGAAAAAAATTATACTTAGTATCCCCATCCCCAGTATTCAGGATGGTAGCTGCTTGTAGTAATATAGAATATTCAATTCTTAAAATACACCCACAAATAAGAATATCAAGATATTCTAATTGAAAGAGATGAGGAATGGTTACGTATTTTTTTCCATTACCAGTGATCGAACTCAGGACTTTGGGCTTGTGATGCAGGCACAGCCCCACTGAGGTAAATCTCTGGCCCTGGTTATGTAATTTTTCATCGTGTTCTTATTTGATATTTTTGGACATTTGCACCAATTCATAACAAAAAAGGAAAAAAGAAATTCCAATTTGTATCTAAAGGTCAGAAACTATCCCAGATGGTTTAACGAAGGCAAGAAAATAGCTGAAGAGATAAAGTGTGGGGTTAAGTACATAAGGTGGGGCCAGTGGAATGAGGGCACCTACGATTTTGTGTGTGATCTCTAACAATTCTTCCTCTGTCTTCTGGCGCAGGCAGTGAACCATGATAGCTGATGTGATAGTTTTACAGCCAGCAGCAACAGCAATTTTCTGTAGTGATGAAAAATCAAAACAGAGTTCAAGGATAACGTCTCTTCCCTCCATCAATGTAGTCAGAGGAGTATTATCCAAAACCCAGTTTATAAAATGCAAATGGAGGTAGCTGCAAATACTCTAGGCCCATAGATGTGGGTTCTGGGTCCCACAGGGTGTTGCTTCTTTTCAATAAGCATGGAGTTTTGGCATGACCCTGTATATATACATATATATGTTTCATGTCTCAAGACAGGTACTTTCTCTTGGGCACACAGAGCTCACATGCAATATTTCATTGTCTGATGTCAAATCTCAGTTCCTTTACTTCCTAGCTCTTTGACCTTCAGCAAGTCACTCAATCTCTTTATACTTTTATACCTTTATTCATAGGTTAAGGTAATCATTGCATTTCTCTTATACAATGAGTTAATACAGGTGAAATGTTGAAATGTGTACCATGTCTCCCACACAATAGTCAGGCTTTCTAAGAATTGTGGGAGGTCTGGATATGATGATTCATTGGAAAATACTTTATAAAGTGTAAAATATAACTTAAATGTGAGCCCCACAGTAACCCTTCCTGGTCAGCCATTCTGACTTCAGTGATTCTTTGAGCATCTCAACAGAATCCTACAGAAAGAAAGGCCCCTGTGGATTCCAGAAGAGAGAAGAAAGGACATAGCTGTTCAAGGTGAGACCTACCTCAGCCAAAGGCTTGATATCCTTCCTCACCAGACCACCACTAATGGCCACACCACTCTCAGAAATGGCCCTGTGGAAGAGGTTCTTGGTCAGGGGAGACAACACCTGGAAGGGAAGTGGAGAGGAGGAGAGTTGATGCTCATGGTGTAAGGGGTCAATGATTCACATATTCTCTCAGACTCCCTCGACCCACTGCTCTGCATGGCCACTCAACTGAAGATAACACCACTCAGGAGATATGATAACTCCTCACATTTCCATCTTACTTCCCAGGCTCCATCTAGTCCCAGTTTTCCCAGAAGAACCTTGGAGGGATGGAACCAGAGCCCAGAGTAAAGGAAAATATGATAAGTGTGTGGCATGTACCCATTTCAACAACTAAAATTTTGGAAAAACATTTTGGCATTCTTTGAAACAAATTCTTTTCAGAATTTCCATTACTGATAATTTATTTTAAGAAAAGTAATTATTATGAAAGTGTTGTTTAGGTTAGAGTGCTTACACACATGCACAAAACCCGGGTTTGATATGCTTCTCAGGAAAAAGAAAAAAAAATTAAGAAAAAAGAGAAAAGAAAAATGAAATGGAAGGGAAGGAATGAACAGGAAAAGTGATCATGAAGGTACAGAGTAATATCTAGGAATTTTCATGGTGTATATAAGTAAGAAACATAATAATTCACAGCTCTAATATTGTCATATTGGGTATATAAACAATTTTTGAACGTTAATATAGAATAGAATACTATGCAATAATAAAATGTAAGATTACATAAGGAGGCTTAATTTTTAAGAAAATATTTATGTCACACTACACTTTAAAAACAAATAACAGAGAAAGAGAGAAAGACATGACAGAGAGAGAAACAGAGAGGGAGAAGAGAATGGATGAATGGATAAAAAGAAGACTGACACATGGATACATACACAAATACACGTGTACATATTTACATACATACAAATTGTGCAAAATACTATGGAAATACATGTCTAAAAATCCACAATGACTATTCATGGAGGGTGAGAATGTGGATCACTATTTTCTTCTACTATTTTCCTTTTTCTCTACTATAAAAATAAGTAACCTTTTCTTTAGAATATTCAAGTATGAAACCAATACCTGGTGTAAAAATAGAGCAATTGGGCTGACTCTCTACTCTACCCTGAGTATCACATGATGTCTTCTGCCTTCCAGAACCCTCCATATCTTCCATCAGTGTCCCCCATCCTCATCCCTCACACCAGAAGGATATCTAATAACTCAAGGTTAAGTTTGTATCTCAAACCCCCTAACTCATCCCTCTACCATAACAACTTCCATTCCTCCTTCTGCTCATTGCTTCCCCAAGCCATTTGTTGCCCCATGGTCACAAATGGTGCTGTCTTCCATTCTGAGCATGGATGAGCTATCAGGACACCTTTCAGGAAGCACCTGACTTCTCAAGTCCCCTCAACATCTGTCCTGGAGCCAAATGACACTTTACCAGATCACGTCCTTACCTCTTGCTATGTATAGTTTATATCTACCCCTACTTCCCAAGAGAAGCAAGGTGATCCCTAATGTTAAAAATGGGTAGGAAAAGCAATGAAAACTCAATCAAGTGGAAAGGAGAGGAATGTCCCTACTGCAGGCTGAAGCTGGAGACTCTCATTGTCCTGGAAAATTAAGCTGAGCCTAATCCCCCTATGGTTTTAATATTATCACAGTTCTAATATTATCAGAACTCACAGTTCTAACATTATCAGACTGGATATATAAAAAAACCTTTATTCTTCACGTAGAATATTATGCAATAATAAAATATGATTACATAAGAAGGCTTAATTTTAAAGAAATATTTATGTCACACTACACTTTAAAAATAGCCAAATATGAGGGAAAGAAAGACAGAGAGAAACATAAGAGTTGGACTTTGGTTCTTCAGAAGCTGATGCTGGGCACTGAGTAGACTCAGCTCTGAATCCAGGTCTTGTAAGGACAGCGACAGGTGACTGGATTGGTTGGTTTCCAAGAGGTCCCATCAGCAACCACATCAAGCCTGGGTTGAGGCTTGGAAGCAGGAACACTTACAAGAATAGAGATAGATTCGCCTCCTGCTGACCCGCCAAAGATGGTCACAGAGCCTGGGTTCCCTCCAAAGCCGGCAATGTTGTCCTGGACCCAGTGCAGTGCAGCCACCTGGTCCAAGTGGCCCCAGTTCCCCCTGCTGTGCTCATCCCCTGTGCTGCAAGAGACAGAGTGGGAAAGGGAAACAGAACTATCACAGCAGGGCTCTCAGAACTGAGGCAGTTTAGAGTTTTTCACCTAGTCTTCCAGAAAGAGCTTAAAGTCTGCATGCCTGGTACAGGGGTCTTCACCTGCTTCTCATTCCTACAGTGGTGTTCTCAGGAAGGACCACACTTATCCTCTTACCTACTTCAGACTGAGTATCTACCATGCGCCCAAAACTCAAATAAGAGCTAGATTACATCTTTGAAAAAATAGGCAAAAAGTATCTCTGGCTACACTCAGATTACAATGCATATCACAAATAAACAGATGATAAAAAAAAAACACACTGTCAACTGCTGAAAATACATTGAGAAAAGGAAAACCTAATAAAGGATGAAAGAGGTGTGGTACAATGTAATGGTATTTTACATTTCATGACCAGGGAAAGTGTCCCGAAGGCAGCAGCATTTGGTAGAGATCTAAATAAAATGAGCATATGGGTCTTGTAAATTACCAGTGAAGGGAATTTCACTTGAGAAAAGTAGAAAGTCCATAAAGCCCAAGGAAAAGGGAAAAAAAAAATTGAGGTGGCTAGTGTAGAGTGCAGCTAAAGAGCCTACTGCAAGCCTTGGCAAGGACATCTAAAACATAGCAAGTAACCTAGGAACCCTTCTAAGAGGCACGGCATCGCTTAAGCTATTCCTCAAAATAGCAGGTTAATAAAAATATGTTGTTACAATTCAGTGTAGAGATAAACTCGGGGGAATAATCAGAGGTACTGGCTTTTGATTATGGTGCAGGCAAAGATTGGTTAGAAGTAGGTGGGTGAATACACCTTTAAAAGTTGGAACCAACAGGCTTTGCTGGCCATGTGGATGTTGGTTGTAAGAAAGAGATGAGTACAGGCAGCCCACCAGGGCTTTATACTGAGCAAAAGAAGGATGGAGCTGCTCAGTGGCTGCACAGGGGAACCTGTGGGAAGAGAGGAAGATTCATTGTTGGGTGAGAGGTGGTGTACATCAAGGGCTGTCAATGGAAAAAAGGAGGAATCTTGTAGACATGGAGGAAGATGGGAGAAGGTAGAGAACGATGGAACCTGGCATCAAAAGACAGGTGAATGCTACAAAATGGAGCTCTGAAAGTGCTTCTTGGGTCACCCAGGGATCACTGGAGAGGGAGACACAGAAGCTTAGGATGGGGGAAAAGAACAGCTCACAGAGGGCTAAGGAGGAACCGGCCAGGAGGTGGGAAGTAACCAGAGCTAGGAGAACAAAGAAGTTCATAGAGGAAGGAGTAGCTATTGGTGGGTGGTGCTGAGAGCTGCCATGAGATTGAGGTCCATCCAGGCACTGGTGGAGATCGCGCTTGACTCTATGAGAACAGCCTGGCAGCATGGTTAATTGAAAATCTGCCTGTATGAACATTCATTGCCCTCCCTCCTTGAGGCTGCCCCACATTACTTTCCCAGGAGAAGATGTACAGCACTTAATTGATCTGATGCATGCTCACTCTGATCACAGAAGGAGAACTGGGGAATAGAGAGAATTTTGAAGCTTTTCTGTGCACTGGTAGACAGCAAAAGTGAAAAAGAGATGAGTATTTCAGAGGCAGGAACATGAGGCTGGGCCTTGGAGTATGAACATTCATGGGTACAGCCCCTGCAAAACTCAGAAGCAAATAGTTAAGTGTGAATGATGAATGAAAAGTTCACTGGGCTCCAATTAAAGAAGGGACTGGGTATATTATTAAGATCTTTAGAAAAGAGCACTATGCTAAATGGCATTACTAAGGCTGGGACCTCACATCATGGCTGTGACAGCTGATGTGGTTCAGTTGGCATATGGTTTATTCCCCAAGGGTTTGTGTGCTGAAGCCTTGATCCCTAATGTGCCAGTATTAGGAGTTGATAGAAGCTGTAAAAGGTGAGGGCTTGTGAAAGGTGATTAGATTATTAGGACTGGTGCCCTTAGAAGAGATTAATATAGAGGTCCTGAGATGCTCATGAGCTCCCAAAAGAGTGAGTTGTAATAAAAGAGCAAGATGGTCTCAGCTCCTGCTCTCTCACTTCCTGTCCTGTTCTGTGGCCTAACCTGTCTGCTGAAAATTCTCTTTCTGATATCCGCCATGTTGTGACACAGCCATGAGGCTGTTAGCAAAGATCAATCAGGAGAAACCACCTGATGTCGAAATGAACAAAGTAACTTTGTTTTTAAAAATGATTATCCAGTCTTAGGTATTTTGTTATATCAACATAAAGCAAACCAACACAGAAGATAATGTGAAAGAGAAGAGTCTAATATCTTACCTGAAGAATCCCCAGATGCCTAGTCGGTACTGAATAGTCACCACTATCACATTTTCATGGGCAGAAAGGGCCAGTCCATTATAGGTCGATGCCCCACCAAATGTCAGACCACCTCCATGGATCCACACCATCACCTGGACAAAGAGGATGCAGCTACACACTGATTACACAAAATGCTACTGAAAAAGACCTCAGCAGTTTTCTGATTTGGTCACTTATAACATTGTGGCTGTGACCCAAGGAGGCCATGACACAAAGTCCACCAAACCCCAGCAATGTTGCAAAAGAGTGTTTCTCTCCTCCCCAACTCTCCCAGCAGGGCCCAATATCCACTGGATACTTGTGCCTTTTTCCACAGACCCATGTGCAATGCCTCTTCAAAATGAGAATGTCATGAAAAGGTCACCAAAGACCAAGGATCCAACGTTCTCCCCAGAACTCCACCATTCTCATGCTTGGACTATACAAGCAGCTGAATATACAGAAGGGAAAGAAGAAGCCCTTGTGTTTCAGCTTCATTTCAATTAATGCTTCAGTGGGGAATTACACTTCCTGTACAGTTTGATTATTTCAATAATTAAGAACATCTGTAATGAATCTGTTCCTACTATGCCTCCACTTTCCCTCCTCTGCAGCCTAAATCCTACACATCCTCCTCAGCCCAGCCTCACAATCTCTTCCTGCAGGAAGTCTTGGGACATTGACTAGCATTATGTGAGTGCCTACTATGTGGCTGGCCCTGTGATGAAAATTGAAAATGAGAGTATAGTAAAGAGCACAATTCATAAGTCATGTCTTGCATTTAAAATTTCACATACCAGGGAAGAAATGAGAGTGGGTAAAATAATATTAATAATATTGCTAATAGGAAAAGGGATTATAACATCAACTACATATCAATAACTATTCTAAGCATTGAGAAATACCTATCCAAATGGTTGATACTAATAATGTCCCACCTGACAGGCAAACTGGGGTACTTCATTGCTCAAGATCCTACAGCTAAGCAGGGCTGTGGGGAAAGAGGAACCCTGCTCCACTGCTGGTGGGAGTGTAGACTGCTGCAAACACTGTGGAAATCAGTATGGAGTTACCTCAAAGAACTAGGACTGGAAGTCTCATTTGACCCAGCTATTTCCCGTCTGGGTATCTTCCCCAAAGAATTAAAACAATCATACCACAGTGATATATGTGCACCCATGTTCATAGCAGCACAATTCCTGACAGCTAAAACTTGGAAACAACACAACTGCACATCAACTAGAGACTGGATAAAAGAAAATATAAGTTTTTTAATAAAATGGAGTATTACTCAGCCATAAAGAACGAGAAACTAGAGATATTTATAGCTGAATGGACGCACATTTAGGCATCCATTTCAGTGAAATAAATAGGACACACATGTGTAAATACCAAATGATTTCTCTAGTGTGAGAAACTGAAAGTGTAAATAAGGACTAAAAGGTATAATAGATAATGTGAAATAGGAAGAAAAGGTGCAAAAGGGAAGGAGAAATGGGAGGGGTAGGGGAAAAGAAAGAAGGGAATGGAATTAATATGAGAAAAAGAAAAACATGCAAACAAAGTCTTTGTAGATAGGGGGGGTGGAGGGGTTGAAGGGAGGGCAGGGGAATAGGGAAAAATAAGAACCAAGATGGATTATGTAAAGGTGCAAATTTCCAATGATGAATATCATTATATTGTATACCTTAAATGTACCAATATAATTAATTAAAAATTTATTTTTAAAAAAAGATCCTACAGCTAATAAGTAGTAGCAGCAAGATCTGGCCGGGCAGTCTGGAGCCAGAGCTCCTGTGCTGAGCTGCCTACTGACTGCAGCCCATAAGGGCAGCAAAGTAACCTGGCTGTTAGAGCAACAGGAAGATCCTTCTGTAGCTCCACCTAGTGTGTGATCAGTGCTTGCCCTGTGTACTCAGCCCAGACTGAGTGGAGCTTGACAGTCCTCACTGAACACTCTTATGCAGTTATTCTCATTTGAGGAAAAGGACATTGAAAGAATTTAAGAAATTGCCAGAGGTTCTAGATCATTCAAAGGAAAACTTAGGGTTTAAAAGCTAATAGTGCTACAGCCTGTGTGCCCTACCTGGGGGTCTCCTGTCTCCAGGCTTCCACAGACCCTTTCTCCTCTACCTCTGTTCTTTCTTGTCTCCAGGGCCGAGACTAAGACACAGTCATCTCTGAACGAAGGCTGAGCCCAGGGGCTGGTCAGCAATGACACGGTGGAGAAGTTACAAAAGTGTCTATGCAACCCAGATGGCAAGATCCTTCAAGGCAGAACTGTATTCTCATGGTTTCTTTTCTTTTCTGTAACCCCCAGATCTAACTGTATGCATGTGGACACTAAGTACACAATAGTTAGTGAATGAATGAGGGAACTTTTGTCCCCACCTCCATAACCCTTACAAACACATGTAAGACCAACTTCTAAGATGGCACTCCTGTGCTCCATGAGAGGGTGCTCCTCAAAAACTGGCTGAGTGCTGACACCTTCCCTTTACCACCTCATGGACTGTGGACTGCCACTTTGCCAGCATGGCCTCCTGGCCTCCTGCCCACCCTTCAATCATGCAACTGCAGTTTGCCTCACCTTTGATCTTTGGTTCTTTGAGAAATGCTGAGCCACTTGGCCATCAGCCTATGCCACAGGTAATGGGAGGGTGGAGTGAGTAAGCTACGGGATTGACATTCACAGGAATGTCCAGGCTCCAGCCCCCACACTTCAGTCAGTAGACAGTAAAAGCTTTCACAGGACAGTGAAAGTCATTGCAGGTACCTTGTGTAGAAAGAGGTGACACAGGCTCTATTTTCTACTCTCTGTCAAAATGACACCAGTTTGAAAATCAGAAATTGCAACTCTTGTATTGGCAATCATGTGATGTGACCTCCTTCTCCCCTTCCAGGCCTTAGTTTCTCTACCTGATGAAAAGAAATTATTGGGTTGTTCCATTTTCTCTAAGGTTCTTTTCAGCTCCAATTCTTGAAAATTATGTTTACCTGCTCTGGCAAACATATACCTAATCCAGTAACTGAGTATTCATTCTTATTCTTCTGATACTGTGCAGAAACTTAGAAATATTAAGGTGGCATTTCAGATGTAAACCAAACTTCTTCCAGATTCTTGAGATTATTAAGAGAAACTAAAATAAGGAAAACTTGTATTTCCTGTGGTGAAAGAAAGCTCTGCACCCTCAAATCTGTCAAAGACTGTGGTGCCCTTGCCCAAGCTACCTTCATCCTTCTGTTCTGGATTCAAAGTTCCCACATGCTGAAGGTCACAATTCTTGGCCAGTGGTCTCACTTACCGGTAGACTGCTTTTCTTCCTCAAATCAACTGGAGTGTAAATATTTAAATACAGACAATCTTCAGAATACCGGAGAGAAATGCTCTCTTGTGTACTGGTAAAGAGATCATAGAACAGCTGGTTTTTTTCTGCATTTTGGGAGCACCTTGGAGGGAAGGAAAAACACCTGAGGTTCAGCCAGGTGGAAACTGAAAATGGCACCTGAGGCTGGACTTTGTACAGGGAGATTTAAATTTGTAATTGGAATTGCTGTCATTGGACTGGAGCGATTTCAATCAGTAGAAATCTGTCTGGAAACCCTGGTAGGAACCCTGGGAGTCTAGAGTCTCCCCAGCTCTGGCAGAATGAGAAAGACTTCACACCTCTTCCTTTTCAGCAGCTTTTAGGATGCACCGATTCAGGGACAGGAGGTTGCCCATGTGCTATTCTACCCAGGGAAATGGCATTTCCTGTACACCCAGAAAGCACAGCATTCTCTGCTGGGCTACAGGATGGCCATGTCTTTCTACCAGGTAATCATTTTCTAGTCTTTGGTATACTTCCTTCAACCAGAACTCCCTCAAATGTAAGAAATTGCCCTCAGAAGATCGGGTTTAAATTTTTTGAGGATTACTTCTGGAAAACTACCTTCCAATACTGCCTCAGCCACAGATGTAAAGGTTGACCTTGAGTAAATTCTTGTCCCACTTTGGACCAATCTGCCAGTTCTATAATATAAGTGTCATACAACCCTGCCATGCTAACACTCCATCATCACCCTGCCCCAGGCAACCACTGTTGGCTTCCCTGAGAAGAGGTCTCTAAAATTCAACACAGATTAGAACATGCAACAAGTTCTAAGTACCCCAGGGTGCCAAGCACTGATATAAATTCTTTTCATGTACTAACTCATTCACCTCACAGCATCCACACAAAGCATGGATTCTGTACTTATCCTTATTTTACATGTGAGAAAGACAAGGCACAAAGAGGTTAGAGAGCCTGCCAAGAACTGCATATCAGCCAGATCTATGATTATTTTCCCAGGTACATTGTAAGTGGCATTTCTAGTTTTCAGTTGACACAGTTGGTAGATTTGCTCCATGTCGGATGTAGAAGGAGATCTGAGGCTCTCAAATGACAGATTGAGACAGCTCTTAAGGGGCAGAAGTAGAGCCAGTAAATATCACATTGAGACTTTTATTCTAGGCAATTTTTCCAAGAACAAGGGACATAATACTGATAAAAACACAACTATAATGTCAATAGTTAGAATGGCTCATATTTCACTAGTATTTATAGATAAGTACCCACCCATGGTAGTCTCAAGATAGAAGAGATCACAACACTACCCTTTATCTCTTTCACTTGTAAAATTATTTTTCTTCCCATCCCCCCAAAAATATCATATTTTAACCTATTACCAACTTAATTTTTAACTTTCCATATTGACTATTATCCCTCTGCCCATTTCTGAAAAGATTTGTTCTCTAATGGATTCTAAGAACTGAGAAAATGTTTGGCACCCAATAGGTATTGAGTACCTATGTGCTGAATAAAAGGTGTGACAGTTCTGGAATGTTTTAAAAGATCTTGATGATTCCAGAACAAAGTAGAGCCAAACAGCATATTGTCTTAATTTTTTCCTGCATCACCCTGAGAAAAATATTCCCACTGAAAAATGTCAAAGCCACTACCACCCACTTACATGGGAGGGTAAGAGGTGGTGTTCTTCACATAGTTCCATCGCTCAGGTGGCTGTGGAGGAGCAAACCTCAGGGATCCAAGAGGAGGCTTGGCAAAAGGGACTCCCAGAAAAACTGACACAGGCTGTGCAACTCCTTCCAAGCTGACATACTTTCCAAGGACTTTGCCGTGCACGGTGTCCACTACAGGTGGTGAGGATGTGTGTCCTGCTGGACATAGACAGGATATGAGGACAAATCAGAAGGGAAAGTAAAGCCCAGACTCCAAGTAGGTTTTGCCTCTTTCTAGGTATGTGACCTTGACCAAGTCACTTAAACTCTCTAGGCCTCAGTTTCTTCTTAGTATTATAGAGATGAGGAACACTGTCTTTCCTTACTGTGAATCTTAATGTAAGAAGTGAAGTAGAACTGGAAATAGAAAAGAAATCACCCAAAAGTCAATTTAAAAAGCTGACATGATGGTGGGAAGGGATAAGATCTTTTGGTGTCCTACTTGCAAGCCTTAGAAGTTTGTATGCATTAGTATCCTGGTGCTGAGCTTTTGATAGATGAGAGGATGAAAAGAATGAGACTCCGATCTCAGGAGACTGATTTCATATGGAAAAAGTCACGGAGCAACTTGACTCAACGTGACAATGTTGGAAAAAGAAGTCGTGTCCTTGGCGAGGAATGAGAAAGGTGCTACATGATGGGGAAGAGCTAGTGAGCCCTTCTGATTGTGGGATCAGGGGAGAGCGGGGACTTGCAGCAGGGAGGGAAAGAATAAAAGAAGATAGAAGGGGGGAATGAACCAGGAAAAGATAAAGTGCAGAAACCCAGAGACAGCTAAACACAGACCCTGGGTGGCCTAGGAAAACCACGATATGGAGTCCATGGGGAGTGGAAATCATCCTGGAATGCACAGATACATGGAATCAATAGGGAAGAGTGGAGGGGTAAAGGAAGCACAGGGAATGGGGAAAAAATAAGAACCAAGACACATCATGTACAGGTACAAGATCCCAATGATAAATGTAAACATATTGTATACCTAAAATGTACCAATAAAAGACTTTAAGCAAAAAAAAAAAAACAAGGCAGGTCGAGTGGGTGGGTTTTATTTAGTAGGCAAATAAAAGCAGGAACTGTTCTGAAATAAAAGACATAGTAAGCTTCTACAACATTCTCAGCTGGCTGTGAGCATGTCCATTCAGAGGTGTGGCAGTGCACTGTCTGTTCCACCCACTCTCTTCGTGTGGAGCAGACACTTCTTCCTCATCTCCCTGAAGATTCCACTTCACCATTGATTTCCACTGCCATGCATCCAGTGTGTACTTCCTGATCATCTTTCACTAGCTGGGTGCATTTTCAGACACCTGACCACAGTTTCCCATGCAGTCTTCCCTTCTCTGAGGCCTCTCTAACCTCAACTTTTCCTAATATTCCCCATAGAATATGATTTCTAGACTCTTGTCCTCCCAATTTGTTCCCCCCCCCCCCACATATCTCTCCTTAAAATTGCATAACCAGAAAAGAAAAGGGCCCGGGGATTTAGCTCAGCGGTTCTGCTGCCTGCCTCACAAGCACAAGGACCCGAGTTCGATCCCCATTACACAGGAAAAGAATAAGATTTATTCTAACAGAAGCATAGCCAATAACATTGAAAACTATGGGAAATAAACTTACAGATAATCAAAGTTATTAACAATTCAATGGGTTGGGCCGGGGATTTAGCTCAGTTGTTTCGCTGCCTGCTACGCAAGCGCAAGGACCTGAATTCGATCCCCGGTACCAAAAAAAAAACAAAAACAAAAACAAAACAATTCAATGGGTACTTCATTTCTATCACTTATTTCACTAAACACCCCAAGATATATTTCCTGTAAAGCATGTTCACAGACGGAGACATTGCAGACTGCTCTTTCTCTTTGTGCAGTCAAAGACTTATGTATTGAATTTTGGTTCCTTTTTTTAATTAGGAAAAAAAGTTTGAAGATATATGGACATGCAAAGGAGGAATTATGAAGGAGGTCTTGGTCCCTGACCATATTTGGGGGCTGTGGAGGGGAAAGGAGGGACTGAGGAGCAAGTGTAAGATGCTGGCTCCACTTTAGACAGGTTCAGTGGGGAAGTCAGTGAGAATCCTGGTAGGAAAACATCATGGGACCAGGATACCATAGGACTGGAGGATAGTGGTGAGGGCCAGGCAGAGGCATCCACTTGAAGGTGAGGGTGCACATCATGGGTGTATGACTTCATTACAGACAAGCTGAAAATATAGGGGAAAAAGCTGAAAATAAAGCTCAGAGACAACTGCAGATGAGACAGAGCACCTATCAGAGTGGTGGCAGGGGAAGAGCACAGCATCATGGCAGCCCAGGAAGAAGGAGGGATTGGCAGGAGTGCAGAGTGCTTTAAAGAGGTCAGGGAGGGCAAAGTCTCAGCAAAAATCATTACATGTTGCTTGTATTAGATCAATGATGACCTTCAATGCAGATGAACTTGGGAAAACGCAGTGATAACCTTCACACTGTCCCAGGTAAAAATGTGGTTGGACAGAGCAACTGAGACAAATAAGAACAGTCAAAAGAGTTACCATTTATGTCACATGGAGTGTGCACACAGTGAGCACTATGTGACTGACATCCATAAAATTTTCTTTAAATTATTTCTCCAAAAATAGCTTTCTGTATGTGTTAATATGCCCACTGATCAGAAGGGCAAACAGGATTTCAAATTGGCCCATATAGACTTTCTAAAATGGAAATATGTTTGCATGACTGGGTAACCAGCCAAAAAGAATACTTCACTCTACTCTAGGCCCCTTCTTACACCTCAGTTCCAGTGCTCTCAAAGTCACAGAGCCAAAGAGAAGATACAATCTAGATGATCAGGGCATGGATGTCTGAGCACTGGCCTAGCTTCAGGAGCCAGAGATAGAACAGAGCATGATTTTCCAGCTGATGCTGGGAGGGTATATGATAGTACATGGTTCCCTGAGTCTGAATTTCTCTGTCTATAAAATACCAAAGATGTATGTTGAGGTGCCTTACTATGGCCCTGAAATACCATGAATTTATTTTCTTTTTTTATAGCAAAACATTTATTGGTACATTTTAGGCATACATTATGATAACACTCATAGTAGGGAATTTGCACCTCTACATGATACATCCTGTCTCTTTTTAAGAGGTGGAGTTATTTTCTATATCTGATGGGTTGACCTTACAAGCTTTGCTGATCCAGGAGAAACTGTCACTCCTGGGGTCCAACCAATCTGTAGGCCACACCACAGCCACTTTTTTTGGTGGTGGTGGGGGGACCAGGGGAATTGAATTTAGGACCTTGTGCAGGTGAGGCAGGTGGAGGAACCACTGAGCTAAATCTCTGGTCCTCAACCACTTCTTTTTTTTAAATTAATTTTATTGGTACATTTAAGGTATACAATATAATGACATTCGTCATTGGAAATTTTCACCTTTACATAATTCATCTTGGTTCTTATTTTTTCCCCATTCCCCTGCCCTCCCTTCAACCCCTCCACCCCTCCCATCTACAAAGACTTTGCTTCCATTTTTTTCTCATATTAATTCCTTTCCCTTCTTTCTTTCCCCCTACCACTCCCACTTCCCCTTCCCCTTTGCACCTTTTCTTCCTATTTCACATTATCTATTTATCTTTTAGTCCCTATTTACACTTTTTCTTTCTCACACTAGAGAAACTATTCAGTATTTACATGTGTGTCCTATTTATTTCACTTAAGAGTATTGCCTCAATGTGCCTCCATTTAGCTCAGTGGTTCCACCGCCTGCCTCAACCACTTCTTATATCTAGTTCTCAGACTCTGAGTCAACATGAACCTGCCCGATCACCCAGATCCAGGAACCAGGCAGCTATCACAGCCCCTATGCCCCAAATTTCAATAAAATCATTTTAACTTTCTCTGCATCTTCTCTTCCTTCCAGTGGAATGCACATCAAACCTTCTTGCCCAACCACCCTCTCTCTCTCTTTACCTCCTGAAGTACTCTGTGCTTCTACTTGTGCCCCAAAACCCAGTGGTGTGACCTGTCCTTTGAGGACTGTAACAAATTGTCCTTTCAGTGGCCAGTGGATCGTGGCCTCATTTATCACATGCAAAATTTGCTAGTAATACACTCCACCTAAAATCAATTCCTTTATCCCTTCCCCACATCTCTTCCAATTAGGGATCCTCTATGCTGCTTTAAAAACAACAACTCATTTCATGCTCACTAACAGCCCACTGAAGGAGATATCACTGTCATACCTATTTAGAGATTGGGTAACCTAAGCACAGCAAAATTAAGTACTGTGCCTAAGGGCTCTCAGCTGAAAAGGGCTGAGCTGGGATTCAGACACTAGGCTAGCTCTTGAGTCCATGCCTTTATGATCTACTAAGCCACCTTCATGAAATGGCTACATATGGGAATTATAGAAAATATAAACTGGGCTCTCTTACTTTCTCTTGATTGAAGTTAAATGTGATTCCCTGTCTTTTGGTGTCTGATGTGTACAGCTGAGACTTAGGTTATTTATCTGGCTCTGATTTTCCTTGTAGTTAGGATGATTCCACATTCAGGTTCAAGACCAGAAGCTGAGCAACACTGTGAAACCAGACCTGTCATGTGTTTGTTCTTTGCACATCTTTACCTACTTCAGCACAGGACAAGAACTTCTAACTGTCCCTCCCCCATCTCCCTTGAATTATGTTTCAGAAGCACTTACCCCAAACGGTGCAAGCAGTGAAAGAGACCAAGACCAGAGCATAAAGCTGCATCATGGAAGGACAGAAGCTCAAAGGCCAATGTGTTCTCCTTTCTACTCCAAAGTAATTCACTGGTCTTGCTTAAAAGCTGGGGACTGCTCCGCCTACCTTACCTAATTGAATAATCAAAAGTGACCAAAAAAAATTCCTCTTCTAAAACCTTTGCTACTCACTCCTACTCAGCGTTTATCCTCTGTTATCTGAACAGTCCACATTCAGCTCTCAGAGTACAGATAGCCATAAATTCAACCAACAATTTCTTACGTAAGATTTTCTTCCTTGTAGGATTCTAAGTTCTGTACACTTTGGGCTTCCCAAAAGCAGGCATAGTTGGCAGCTACCTTCACTGTAGGAAGCTTTGGTTTGAGGTCATGAGAACAACTAGGTAGTTTTATCTCAACTCACAGCCTTAGAGCTCCTCAGGTAGCAGTTTAAGACCTGACCTATATCTTAGCTTCCCTGGGATATTTTCCCCCAGGATTCTAGGCTTCTGGATTTTGGAAGGAATCATAAGTATCATTCAATCCCCATTCTGATTTTTAAATTAGCTTTGCAATATTCCTTCCAAGAGGTCCTGCATGCTGTCACGCATAAAATCAGGTTCGAGGTTGCACCAATCTACATTCCCACCAACAATGGAGAAGGGTTCCTTTCTCTCCACACCCCCGCCAGCATTTGTTATTCATTGATTTCTTGATAGCAGCCATTCTTTGTGGGGTGAGGTGGAATCTCAGCGTTGTTTTCATCTGCATCTCTCCAATGACCAGTGATGTTGAACATTTTTTTCATATATTTATTTGCTGTTTTTACTTCTTTGAGAAATGTCTGTTCATTTTGGATGCCATTTTTGAATTGGGTCTTTGAATTTGGGGGGTCTAATTTTTTTCAGTTCTTTATATATTCTCAATAGTACACCTTTGTCTGAGGTACAGCTGCTAAAAATTTCTTCCTACATTGTAGGTTGTCTCTTAGCTCTGTTGGTAGTTTCTCTGGCAGTGCAGAAGCTTTTTAATACAATGAGATCCTGGTTGTTGATTCTTTGTGCTAGCTCCCGTGCTCCTGAAGATTTGTTCATAAAGTCTTTTCCTATGCCAATGTCATCAAGAGTTCTACCTAACTTATCTTCCAGCAAGTTTAGTGTTTCTCTCTTAATATTTAGATCTTTAATCCACTTTGATCTTAGTTTAGTGTGTGGTGGTAGGTATGGGTCTAGTTTTAATCTTTAGCAGGTTGAAATCCAGTTTTTCCAAATCCATTTATTAAGTAGGCTATCTTTCCACCAATGAGGGTGATTGGCTCCCTTGTCAAAGATGAGGTGGCTGAGTGTGTCTGGAGTTGTTTCTGCATCTTCTAATCTATTCCACTGATCTTCAGGCCTGTTTCTTTGCCAGTACCATGCTGTTTTTATCACAGTAGCCTTGTAGTATAGCTTCAAGTTGGGGATTGTGACACCCCCAGCCATGTCTCTATTACCTAGAATTGCTTTTGTTATTCTAGGCTTCTTCTGCTTCCAAATAAAACTTTGGATTGTTTTCTCTAGTTCTGTGAAGTATATTGTTGGTATTTCAATTGGCATTGCATTAAATCTATATAGTACTTTTGGAAGTATGACCGTTTTCACTATATTGGTTCTTCCTACCCAGGAACAAGGGATATCTTTCCATTTTCTTATATTCTCTTTGATCTCCTTTTTCAGAGAGCTGTAGTTTTCAGTGCAGAGGTCTTTTGCTTCTTTTGTTCGGTTGATTCCTACATATTTCATTTTTTAGATGCTGTTGTAAAAGGAATTACTGGAAATCAGCATGGGGATACCTCAAAGAACTAGGACTACAGGTCCCATTTGACCCAGCTATTCCCCTACTGGGAATCTTCCCCAAAGAATTAAAAGAATCATACCACAGTGATATATGTGCACCTATGTTTATAGTGGCACAGTTTGTA